GTCAGCTCAAACTCTGCAGCGCCCTCGCGCGCGAGGTGCATCTGGCGAGACAAACATGTGCGACGCGCGCGATAGGAAAGGAGGACGGCGTCGTCCGCGCAACTACCCGCTGCAAACTCCTGGCGGCGAGTCCTGGCGATAGGTCGGGGCGCGGGTTCCTGGCCGAACAAGTTTGCGAGGTGGGGCAAACATCCGCGCGATATGAGCCCGGGCAATGGGCATCCGATGGGCGCGCCCGAGAGCGGCGCAAGTGCAATGCCAGGGCAAAGGAAGAAACTGAACCCGAGGAATCCCTCGATGGCCCACTTGAGGCTCTCGAATATAAAAAAGTCCGGCCCCAGCGCCTAACTCGGAGCCCGCCGCCGAGCGTGACCTGAGAGGGCGACGCGTGGGGCGCCGAGGGGGCGCGCGCGTTGAAGTCGCGGTCCGCGCGCGCAAGGAGAGCGCCAGCTGCTGGACGGATCGCCGCGGGGTCAAGCGCCTCGCGCGCTTGTCAAGCATCTGACGCAGCGAAGCCCAGACGCTGCAGGCATTGCCGACGGCGAACGCGCGCGCTGCCTGATCAAGACGAGACGGGCGCCAAGGAAGAGCAAGACCGCATATCGCCTCTAGTAGATCACCGAGAACCGCGTTAAGATCTCTGACGCCCCAACCAGGACAGATAACGCAATAAGGTTCGCGAGGCATGTGATGCCGCGATCTATATATAGAGAGAGAGAGAGAGAGAGAGAGAGAGAGAGAGAGAGAGAGATTATGATATCTTTCGCCCACGGGGGCGGTGTACATTGCGTGTGTTACGCGCGAATGAGTGTCCTACTGCTTTGCATGTCCTGGGGCCTCCGTCCTCATTGCACTCCCGTTTTTACCAATGTGGTAGCAATGCGACGCGTGCTTAGTGATGATGGCGCGTTTTTGAAAGGGTCGGAGACTTTCTGGTGCGCTAAAATTACATGCGAGCCTATGCCATTGCAGTGTATGTGACGGTGGTGGAACGCTTAGGCACCAATCTTGTTTTTGGGCCAGCAAGCAAACCAGGCCAGCGCAACTGCGCATGGTTCATACTGACGGCCCACGTCGCACGAGGATCTTTATCCTCGACTGGAAACGACGCGGTGAAACGCACCTCCTGCAGAGCATGACAAACTCGAGCTAGGGCTTGAATCTGCGGCGTCGATGGGCACGGCTTCTCAACGATCCCCTCGCTTAGGAGCGAGAGGATCCGCAATGATGCGACATCCAGAGCGGCAAGAGAAAGCCACGATGCACACATGATGAGACTGCTTCGTCAACGTCTCCTCGCAACGCTGGGGGCCAAGGGAGCTTGCCACAGAGAGGTATGCGGAACGCACCCTGGCCTGCTGCCGCGATGTTGTGGCCCTGCGCACAGAGAGATCAGGCCCGAACTGGATGGCGGGCGAAGTCCTTGGACATTGAGACGCACTGCTTTTGAATGGTCGTCGTCGCCGCAGCGATGACTCCGAGCTGTTGCCTGACCATCAGAGCCCATGCCAGCCTGAAACCAGATGCGCGATGCAACACAATTCCGCGCCATTGGCGAACGATGGGGAAATCTGCTTCTCGAGTCAATGTTATCGTAGCGCTACCAGGCCTGGGAAGTCCGAGCAATCCGAGAAGCGAGGCAGTCGGGACCTGAAAACTCGCCTTCTCGCGCCAAGTCGGGGACACCGTACATAATAACCCCCAAAGCGTACATATACAATCATTCAGGTTCTTCCGAGCTGTGCTGTTGCATGCTGCCAAAAGCCTCCTGAGATCCCCAGGCCGAAAACCGAATAAGTAGAATCACGTGTGCAAGGTCGTGTAGGTATACGGGTCCATATGTTCGAAATCGTGCTACATGTCGTCGATGGAATGATTCCTAAACTCGTAGGTCGTGTCCCTTGAAGGCGTTGCCCAATTCCCGGAGAGCCTGAAACCGAACCTCACGCCAAACCTCATGCGCCTCCAAATCCTCTTGGGGTCTGGGCAGGTGTAATCTCCGAAGGGCACGATTCCTAGGGGCTCTTTTGGAGGTCTTGCCAGGCTCCCCGGGAAAAGAACGTGAGCCAGGACCAAGGCCTACTGAGGACCCATGGGTCCTAAGGACATTGTTGGCCTCGGGGGCAACAGACGCGATGTATGATGCGTCGGTCGCCGAGATGTTGACCGTCGGAACGATAGTGACGAAAACAATGGACATGCACTGCGTACGGCGTGCTCCGATGAGTGTTGTGTGCCGTGCTGTATCTGCAGAAACTTGGCCTTGACTGCATTCGCGGGGAAGTGTCATGTGCTCCTCAGTGCGTGATGCAGTCCAGCTTGCGTCCCCGTGCGTCGATGTACGCGCCTTTGACCAACATAGCAAGCAGCGTGGCCCAATTGGTAGACGAAAAACTGTTTGCGCATATGAGGTGCTGGCGCGCCCTAGATACAATTCACCTGAAGACAGAAAAAAAAAGAGAGAGAGAGAGAGAGAGAATCACGAAACTCAGGTACCTCAAGAAAGGATGCAAGACCTGGGCGGGGGAGGGCACGCTGCAGGGAAACGGGGAGGACCAACGCACGCTTCTGAGCAATACGGCGATGTCTCCGTCCTCGAACCCACATCTGTCGAATCCGAAAACGGAATGGGGAATGCACGCAGCCATATACATACAATTGCATTGTACAGTCACCACCGCAATATCACCAGCAAACTACACTTCGAGGTCTTCGAGAGAGACTCGGGCAGAAACAACGATGGTTGGTGATTGGAGGGCTGCCACATAGTGCCGGGAACCGGGCGTTCTACGATTGCCAAGGTCCGTGTCCGCGTCAACCGTGCGTCACCGACCCTAAGGGGGACATTGACTGTTCAGGTCCAAAAAGCAATCGAAAGGATCCTCCGTTCCAACCACATTTCAACGGCTGTCCTAGGGAACGTACGTAGGGATACCTGTTCATAAACAAGAGTTCGCAAGCTTGCGTCAACTGTCATGCTGATCCGTGGGATGGGTGCGCCCATACAAGGGAACCCAACGATCAACAACATACATAGTGAACGTCGAACTACGAGAAAAATTGACATATACACATATATATATACACACGTATATATAAAATGGATATGGAACATGAACGTCGCGAGTGCGGTACAATACGACAGGGCGCCTTACTTCCACTACATCGCGCACACATCGTAGGAACCAGCAAGTACCATGGCTCAGAGGTGCCGAATGGCTCTATTCAGTAATCGATATTTTACAAAAAGAATGGTCAGGGTCGAGCGCCTTAACACCACCTGCAAGCTCTGGACTCCCGTGGCTCTTCGGCCATCCTTTGAGAGAACCTGCTACAAACAAAAGCACATGCAAACAGACAGGGGAGCGGCAGCGACGAGGCAAGGGGCGTTCGTGTCGATGCGAGCGGTGGCCAGGTCTCAGGCCTGCTCCAGCTCGCAGGCACACACAACATAAATATCAAGATATTAATAAAAGTGTCACACACACGCACACGCACACACACACACACCACACACACACTCACACACTCACACACTCACACTCTCACACACACAGACACACACAGACGTATAACGATTTTGTAACTAGAACCATCGCGCGCGCTTCGCGCGCGCTCAAGTTCTAGCCCAGGCCGGGGGGGCGCTGGAAGATCTTGGACAGCGCTATCAAGCACAGGCGCGTGACATAGTCGTGCCTCCTGAGGGCCTCTTGGGTCTTCGGGGGGCATCTGAAGGGCTTCTGGGGGGTTCTCCGTGCTTCCTCAACTTGCTGTTGGAGGCACCTCTTGGGTGCTTCTTGGGGGGGCAACTTGGGGCTTCTTGGGGCCCCTTGTGAGTATCGTCGGGTTCTCTGGGCAGTCGGAAGGTGATGTTCTGCAATCTGAAACCGTCATTGGCCGTATTGGCTGCGTGGAGGCGCGACTTGAGGGCGCCTGGTGCGCCGTCTTGGCCGTCTTGGAGCGGTTTTGGGAGCCTCTTGGGGGGTGCTTTAGCGCCGGAAGCACGAAACAGCGAGAATAAAAGCAACATTTTAACAAAAACAAGTAGGAATCAACGATTTTGCCCTCTCGGGGCGCTCTTGGGCGGCATCTTAAAGGCTTCTTGGGGCGTCTTGGGGGCCTCCGGGGCAGTTAAAAACGCACCGTGCGTCGCTAGAGAACCCTGGACCGGGCTTCTTTGGGTCGATCTTGGGGGCCTCTTGGGCTGTTTTCGCGCGTCGGGAACCCGAGAAGGCGAGATGACTAAACTCCTTCGAACATCTACAGAAAATAAACAGTTTTTGGCTCTCAGGGCTCTCTCGGGGGTCCTCGTGGGGCCTTCTTGCGGCGTCTGGGTGGCCTCTTGGAAGCCTTTTGGGGCTTCTTCGGGGCCTCTTGGGGCCTCCCTGGCGCCTCTTGTGGCGGAAAGCTCGAACTGTCGGTTGGATTTCCCAATCTTGGGCTTCTCTTGGGCGCCTTTGGGGGCCCGTTTGGGCTGTCTTGGGCGCCTCTTGGGCCGTCCTGGGGCTCTTTTGGGCCGTCTTGGGGCCCTCGGGGGCGCCTCTTGAGTCGTCCTGGGGCGGTCTTGGGGGCCTCTGATGTCGTCAAGAACGGTACGACAGCGAAAACAATGAATATACTGAAATTGTACGTTTTGCTAAGGGAATGGGGTTATTTTTGCCTCTTGGGGACGTCCTGGGGGGCCTCTCGGGGGCTTCTTAGAGCGTCTGCGAGGCCTCTGGAGGTGTCTTGGGGGCCATCTTGGGCATCTTGGAGCGGCCTTTGGGTGTCTTGGGTCCGTCTGGGGGCGTCTTCGGGTTCTCTTGGCGCGTTCCCGGGGCGTTTTGAGGGCCTCAGGGACGCCCCAAGAGCCGACGTCCCCCCATTTGTGGTCGAGGCTGCGGCCCCGCGCCCCCAGACCTGGTGCGCCGTTATATGTATAATGCATTCAAGAAGCCGTCTACCAGTTCCGTTCCCAAAAAGCGATTTACACGTGCCCCCCTTACGCGGCGACTCGTCACCTCCTGCGACAGGTCCTTGAGGAAGGAGTGGTCCTCGTGGGGGCCCATGCCGATCACGACGGTGCTCATCGGTACGTTGGCAGACTCGACGATGGCATTGATAGTTTCCAGTTCGTCCTTCACCTCGGGAGGTACGACGTATCCACCACCACCGAGCATCCGATGTTGTCAGGCTGCCATAATGAGGATTGCCACATAAGGAGCGGATCTCCTTTCTGGCCCCCACGGTGTCTGGGTGCACGAGGAGCGTAAGAGGAACAACCAGTGAAGGACCCGAGGTACATCGAACCCCTGTCGAACCCGAACTGTTCTCTATTTCATCGTCTTGGCTGGAAGCCCGATGCGCCATGCTGGTGGACAAAGGCAAGTCTGCTTCATGCAGATCCATCTGCGCGGGCACACGGCATTGGCGAAACCACCCAGCCGCTCCTGCCTGCGGCTGCGCACTCGGATCGCGTGGCGAGAACGGCAACTTAAAGAGTCTTGCGCGAACGCGTCAGCCCATGCCTCCGAAATCTCAAACATCGGAGGAGGGCCGATCGAGACACAACGGCGGCCCTCTCTGCCACGCGCTGTCCTTCTTTGGGCCTCCCGGAGGCTCCTTGTCGCCAAGGGGGATCCGCCTCGAAAGGCCTCGTCAGGATTGCCCGGGAAATAACTTCGGGAACCTATCGGCGGCGAGCCACGGTGGGGACGTGAGAAGGAGAAGGCCTTCTCAGAAGGCGGCGGCACCTCTCAGAAATCCTCGCGTTCTCTTTGCAGTTTTCCGTGTCTTCGGGGAAGGCTCAGAAAACTTCTCAGAAGGCGGGGGGACTTCCGAGCCTTCTGAGGAGGCCTCCTCCTTCTCACTTCCTCCCTCGCCCGCCGCCGAACCACTGTGGAACCAACTTGGGCCAGACAGGAACGCCGCCCTCGTCTCCGCTGGCCCTCCTCCGAATTCAGTTCGGCGCGGTGTCCACCAACCCCAGACCTCTTGCACGGAGGCCCCACGGCGTCGGCCCCCGCTCGGGCCAGGAGGCCAGGCCCGGCAACACCTGGACCCCTGAACGGGCCCGTGGTGGCCTGGTGCTGGCGCACAAGCCAGGACCAAGTCAACATCGAATTCGGAATCGGGATCGCGTCGGGACGCGCTTCGGATGGGGGAATCAAATCGGATCGGCCGCGCCAACATGCACTCAATACAGCGCCATGCGAACATCGGGCCACACCCGACAATCGGAACATCGGAATCGTATCGGATAGGGCCTGCCGAAATCGATATACCGAATTCGGGGTGGTCGGATCGGAATTGGCCATGTACGGAGGGTTGGCGTCGTGACCGCTGGAGCGCTGGTTTCTGACACCGCGCGGATTGTGCCAACCTCGAATGATCGCGGCTCTCCGATCAGCGCAGGCCGCTCGATCTCGTCAGCCGATACCGGGCCACAAGCGGAGCTCAACCGTGAACGTCCGCACCAGGGTCGCCGCCGCGTCGACACGACGCGCACCTATTGCACCTCCCTTCTCCTCCTCACCTGCCCGTCCGTAACGATAACGAGCAGGTAGTAGATCATCGGGTCTCTGGCCAGCTCCCGAGGTTCGTGGTATTGCTCGGCGAGGCTGGACACGAGCTTGATCACGGGACTCAGGCGCGTGGGGCCGTGCATCTCTACGATCTGCAGCGCCCGCTGGTAGCTTGTGACCACCTCGTCGACACTCTCCCTCTCCTCCTCCTCCTCATCCTCCTCCTCCTCCTCCTCCTCCTCCTCCTGTTCACACTTCCTCCTCCCGCTCTTCCAATCATTTCCTCCCCCCTCATCTCATCCTCCTCCTGCCCCTCATCGTCTCCTCTCCATCCTCCTCCTTCTCCTCCTCCTTCTCCTCCTCCTCATCTCCCTCATCACACATTTATTTGCCACCCTATATCCCTCCTTCTCCCTCCTCCTCTCCCTCGCTCCTCTTCGTCTTACTCCTCTTCCCCCTTCCTCTCCCCCTTCTCTCTCCTCCAACCATCTCTCTGCAAGCTTGGGAGCCAACGGCATTTTTCCTAACCACCCGTCCTCCTCTCTCTGCGCCATCCTTGCCACTGCTGCTCGACCCCCTCCCCCCGACCCCCTCCCCCCGCTCCCATTGCCCCTCTTCTTCTTGTGCCCCTCCCCCTTTCCCCTGTCCCGCCACCCCATTCCCTTGGGCCCTGCAGAAACTCGTCGAACCGTGCAGAGTCTCCCCCAAACCCTCATTCCCAACCCAACTAAAACTCGCCCCATCACTCCTGTTCCTCCTCCTCCTCCTCCTCCTCTTCCTCCTCCTCTTCCATTCCCTTTTCCTCATGCATACCTTTTCCCTGTCGTATCCCGAAGCCAGTCTTTAGAGCATGCCAGGCGTTTCGCCTGGAAATCCCCTACTAGTTATAACCCTTAAGCGGACATTTTGATAATAGCTTCACATGTGAAGGGCGGGCCATTTTCAAAATAAGGTTTTCGCCTCAGCGCCGCGCGCATTCGTTTTCAACGCTTGCGTGAATTTAACGGATTGAGGGCGGGTCGTTCTCAAAATGTAGCTCCCGCCTTAGCGCCGCGTACTTTCGTTTAAATTACCCCGGCGAAGAACCCAACCCTTTGCGCGCGCATGGCGGATCTATGCAGGACCGCTCAACGCGAGTGAACATGCAGAAGGATCTGCAGTACCAGCGAATGCTGCGCCAACTGGAGGAAATCAATATTCGCAACCGCCCCATTCCCGCGTCCACTCTCAATCATGGACTCTGATGCGGGAAAGCGATGGCGAATGCACGGTGGAACACGAGGACGGGGGCAGAGGGAACGGGAGGAATGATAATGGGGTCTGGATTCCTTCGGTCAATGAAACCTGCGACAGCTCGCAACCCCGCCCCTTTTCTGCGGGCAGGACGGGGCGAGCTTGAATTCAACTGTAGAGCTCCTGCGGTGAGCGCAGGACCCAGGCCGGGGGTGCGCGACCGCGCCGCGAGACTACATGTCTCGAGTTGTTTCGGGCCTCGGCCGCGCGGAGGAACTCCTCGAAGCCCAGCTTCGCAGCAAGGGACCTGGCCGTCTTCCTGCAAGCCGCCGCGAGCCATGAGCTTCTTCAGCTGCGCGCGCAAGCCCGCGGGCGGCCCCCGCAGGAGGAAGGAGGGGAGACGCGCGGCGCTGCGGATTCAAAACAAAGACCGTTTGAGAAAAAGGCGGAAGGATAAGAAGGAGGGGGAGGCGTAAGGAGAGAGGGGAGGAGACGCGTGGCGCTGCGAATTCAAAGTGAGGGCCCAAAACACAGGAGGATTAGGCAACAACTGCAATAATTTCACGGATTGAGGGTGGGTCGATTTCAAAATGTGGTTCTCGCTTCAGAGCCGCGTGCATTCGTTTCAAAGCTTTGCAGAAGTTTCACGGATTCCAATGACCAGCGTACCAGAAATTGCGTTTTGGACGGGCTCAGTGTTATGAGGGTGCGGCAGTGCCGTTGATCCGCGGTGCTGAAGTACCAAGAGTGGCGGTCTGGCACGACTGTCAAGACGCAACAGCCAGGTTGGGGATCCCGAGAACAACTTCTTGGCATGCTTCAGGGTCTTCAAACGGTTGTCCTCCAACGAGGCAGTTCCCCCAGTGGAAAAGAATCGCTGTATGGGGCCCATGAGGGAGGGAGGGTTTATCCCAACATCGTTGATTACTCGTGGGTTTACATAAGTTTACAATAAGGTAATTGTCCTCCTCCTCTTCCCTTTCCTCATTTTTTTCCTCCTCCTTTTCCTCCTCCTCCTCCTCCTCCTCTTCCTCCTCCTCCATTCCTTTTCCTTATGAAAAAAAAAAAACGTCTCCACACCGAATCCAACTTGTACGGCGGGCTTGGGGTTCATTCTGGGATTTCCTCACCATCTATGACCCTGAAGCTGAAGCATTGACAACACAATCACATATGGAGGACGGCTTATATTCAAAGTAAAGCTCTCGCAATAGTGCCGCGCGCATTCGTTTTACACACTTGCCAGAGTTTAACGGGTTGAAGGCGTGTCGTTTTCAAACTATGGCTCTCGCCTGAGCACCGCGTGCACTCGTTTAAAACCATTTGCAAGTGCTCCATGGACTGAGCGCGGGTCGTTTTCAAAATGGGGTTCTCGCCGTAGCGCTGTGCACACTCGTTTCAACAATGTGCAACAGCTTCACTGATTGAGGGCGGGTGGTTTTCAATCTGTGGTACTTGTATTGGCGCCGCGCGCATTCGTTTTAACACTTTGCAGAGAACTTCATGGCTTGAGGGCGGGCCGATTTCAAAATGTGGTTCTCGCCTCAACGCCGCGAGCAGTCGTTTCAAAACTTTGCAGACGTTTCACGGATTCTCATGACCAACGTACCAGAAATTGTGTTTTTGGACGGGTTCCGTGTTATGAGGGTGCGACAGTTCCGTTGATCCGCGGCGCTGACGTCCCAAGAGTGCCGGTCTGGCACGATTCATGATTGTCACGAAACAGTTGTCAAGTTGATCCGTGGCGTTGGAATCCCGAGAACAATGTTTTGGCATGCTTCAGTCTTCCAACGAGGCATTTCTATCAGTGGAAATGAACCGTTGTAATGGGCCTATGACGAGGGAGCTTGGAGGGATGGTTTATTTCAACATCGTTGATTCCTCGCGGGTTTACGCTGTTCCTCCTCCTCCTCCTCCTCCTCCTCCCCCTCCTCCTCCTCCTTCTCCCCCCCCTCCCTGTCCCCCTCTTCATTCGCCTCCCCCCTTGCCATCGCCATTTTGGCGCAAGGCTCCGCGCGCGAACGGCTCGCCATTTCTTTTCGTGGCCGCGCCCTCCCCCAACCGCAGCCTTTTGCGCGCCGATTAGGCTGTCATGTCCAGGCCCAGCCGCATCTCGCGAGATGTACTCGTTCTACATGGTGTTTTCCGCCCACTTCCGAAGAGACCCGTCAGTGACGCCGTGGCGCGCATGGGATGCTGACGTAACCGCTTCTGCTCAGGCATGTGGTCTTCGTCGCCGTAGGCATCATCGTGCACCTCATCGTGTTCGCGTTGCTCTTCATCAGTGCTACGGGCCGCCGGCCCATGCGCAGCTGCAGCCGCCGCCACTTCGTCTGCTTCTGCCTCATCTTCGCGAGCCGCCAGATTTTGCATCACCTCTTTTGCTAGTTTGAGCGCTGTCTCAGCCGCCGCGCCATGTCGTTTCAAATGTATCTGGAGTTGTGAGTGCTGCCTCTCCTGCGGCAACTTGGCGGCTCGCTTCCCGGCTGACTCCCGACCGTGGCGAGGTCTAGCGCTGAGGCCCGCCCTGGCGCGTGCTGCCTGCAGGAAAGACGCCGAGAAATCCCCTTTCGTCTTCCCGCCCATTGCCGCGGCAGCTGCGCCCCCGCGTCGCGCGCGCGTGGTCGCGCTGGGGGGCGCATTGTTTCAGCGTCATTTTCTTGTACTTCCCGACTGTCGCCGGCGCGCCCCTGGCGAACGCCCATGCGCGCGCGTCGCCTGGGCCCCGCGACCCTCTTGGAAAGGTCGCCAATCCCGATCCACCCGGCAATCGACGGGCCAGCTGCGCGTAGCTCCTGGCGCGCGCGGGCCGTCAATCGCTCTGCCCTGCCGCGCGCCGCTGCGTAAGCCTGACGCAGCGGACCTAGTGGCGCGCGGCGGTCCTGCGAAGGGGCCCAGCTGCGCTCGAATTCGGACGCTCGATCGCCGACTGACTTCTCGCCGACCAGCCCGCCCATCGCACGCGCGACCTGCCAGAGCCAGGGGCGCCCTAGCGCGATCGAGGTCGCAGATGCCCGAAGCCCCCCCGAAGCATCCGCACAACTAGTCGGTCGACGAAGCGGTCGGGGTCCATGCGCGCGCGGCTTCATGGCTCGAAGAGCCGCGCGCGCGTCGTCGACTTTGGGCAGCTCTGGCTGCCCCGCCGCGGCCCGGGACCGGAGGGGCGCAAACTTGCTGCGGATGGAATCGAAGCTGGCCGCGCCCTTCCAAAAACCATGCCCTCGTTGAACTTTCTCGCCGCCAATCCCCGGGGCGTGCCAGGGCGATTCCATCGCGGGGCTTTCGCCGGATCCGCGATGGTCCTGCGCGCTTTCCGCAGAGACCCAGCTGCGCGGATCCATTGTTGAAGTTCTCGCGACGAAACAGCTGCCGCCCTGCAGTGGGCCGGGCGAGCAGCTCTGAAAGCCGCCCCCCGCTGACTGAACTTCTCGACTGGAAGGCCCCGGCGTCGCGCGGCCCGCGCCGGCGACCCTGCGCCGCTGGGGCCGCCTTCCCGGCGCCGTCGATGGGCTGGTAGGCTAGTCTCCTGACCGCCACTTCAAGACGCTGGACTGGTAGCTCCCCGCCCAGTGGGCGTCTGCGGCGACGGGCTCTCTGGAACGAAGCGTTGAGACGTGGTCGCCAGGCTGCGGCGACGTCTTGCGTCGAATTATTCCGGCAATAACCTGCCGGCCGCAACGTCGCGGCCTGGGGTCGACGCCCAACTGTTCGAGAGCGAACGGCAGATCCCGTTCCATGGCGAGGGCTGACCGGTCTCTCCGCAGACAATTTCCATCGCGCGAAACAAATACTTTTCGGCAGAGCACGAGGGCCTCCCGCCCAATGGGCGAGGGATTCGCCAGCGGGTGGCCAGACGTCTGCAAGGCGTTGGCACCAGCAAGCTAAATCCAAAATGGCACCGAGAGCGAAGCGGGGATGCGGTGCCCCAGGAGATGCAGGAGCGGCGGCGCGACGCCGGCAGGGGGCGGGGCCACCCTCATCCACGGCGCCAAGATTCGAGTTCCCAGGGCCATCGGCAAGGGTCGACCTGTGGCTGGAACACCGTGGCCACCCCCTCCAGGCGGGTAGGCCTCGAGCACGCGTCGCCCGCGGCGCGGGCGGCGGGGTGCAAAAGCGTTGGAAGTCAAAAACATGCTGGATATCGGCCCCTACGCGAGCAGCCAGGAGATCGCTCGACCGGGCGGAAACAGGTTTCGCCCGCCGAGAGGCCTTCCCTCTCGGGCCCGAAATCCTTCCCGAGAGCCCGCGGGCCCTCAGTGGCCGCCGGGCCGTCGCTGGGCCCAGGGGTGGGGTCCGCGAGCAAGCCCCCGGACCCGCCCGGCCCTAATCGGGCAGGTGCGGGAAGACCCCCGGACGTCTCATCGCGCTCAGCACGGATCCGAGCGCGACTTTCTCGACGCGCCCCTGAGACGGAACTTTGCTCCGGCAAGACTTGAGCCCGGCAGGCGGGCCCCGAGCGGGCTTGGGGGCCCCCGAGGGGCAAAGGGCAATTTGCAAACTGCGCGTCGCGAGCTGCTGGCCAGCAGCTCAGATAATCTGGCAAGACATAAAAGGATGTGACTCTGGCGCGACGGGGGGGGGCCAACGAAGACTGGGGGCTCTTCGTGTTTGACCGTCGTCAGGCCCCACTTGTTGCGCCGAGGGCTCGGAAAACTCTCGGTGCTTCCATGTGCGTTGTCGTTCGAATAGCGGGCCCCCCTGCCATGGCCAGCCCGCCCCTCGGTCGGGGTTCCCGGGGGGGCCCGAGGCCCTTCGCGCAGCTCCAGCGGGGGGTCTTGAAAACAGCGTGTCTCCCTTGGTTCGTTGTCGGGGGCCTCGCCGTTGATGCGGGTGCGTGCAGGCGGTCAGCTTTCATTCTGCGCTCCTGGGGATGCACCCTGGGGGCGGATGTTGACTGCGCTGCGCGGGGCGTGCAAATTTTCGCGCATCGATGGTGCGATCGCGTCTGGATGCATTGCCGCCGGAATGCCAGCGCAGTCTCGGATGCGCCGTGGAGCCCTCTCGGGTTGAGGAGGGAACTTCCACTTGAGACCGCTTCGCGCGAGCAAGGAAGCTCGCGCGGGCTCGTGGCTTCGCCGATGAACTGATGGCGTCGCAGGAGGTCGCTGCTGCTAGGGAATTCCAAGCTTTCGGCCCCGGGCGCGTCGCGCTGCTGAGCTGCATGCTGCAAGGCTCAAACTGGGCGCCCCATCCACTAGAAAGCGCATGCAGCTGGGCATCCGAAGCTGCCGCGGCCTCCTCGACCGCCGCTCCTCCTCAACGGTCGGCGGTCGCACCGTCGAGAGGCGCCGCCTTCTCGGCCGCTGCAGTTCCCGCCGCTGCTGCCCCCCGTAAGCGGGCCATCTCATGCTTGCCCCGCTCTGCTACGTCGCCGCTTGGCGATTTGCTCCAGTTCAGCCGTCGCGCTTTCTTTGAACTTCCGGAGCTCTTGTTCACTGAACTTGAACACTGGTTTCTTCCTCGTCGCCACCACCTTCTGCCTGCAGTCGATCTGGTCGGAGAAGCTGGTGGGATCCACCTGCGCTGCTGGGCTAACTCGGCTGCTGCACGGCACCGACCTGAGGGCCGGAAAACTGAGAAGATGCCACCAAACCCACCCCTTTGGTCAGCGCCTCTGCTGCAGTCTTCTTGCTCAGCTCGGCAGCCGCCAGCGCCCTCGCTGACTCCTGCCCGCGCTACCGAGCACATAGAAAGTTCTCCTCGCATCTGGTATCTTCGCTGTGGCCTGGGCGTGTTTCGCCGAGGCGTCGTGCCAAACTCCCGCTGCCTTCATCACGGCAGCGGGGACTGTGGTCGGGGCGGCAACGCTATCCCGCGCCTGCTGGACATGCTGTTCCAAGGACTGCTGGGTTCTGCGCTATCTTCTAGGCTGCCCCGAGCGAGTCGATAGCTGAGTGGGGCTGCGCAGCTGGACGCACCGCAGCGACCAGCTTGTCGACGTCGGTGTCCTTGCTGGGATGCACCACTTTGGCCTGCACGAGAACACCATGGTGGATGCAGCCCTGGCACGTGTCCTGATTGAAAGGAAGTACATTGTTCCACGCACAATTACAACACTTTGCAAGTCGTCTGGAGGTCCGTCGTGGACGGCTGCTCCTGCACCGTCGCACGCCTGCCTTCGGTCATTACTGCCTCGGTTAACCAACCTGGCCAATGGTTCGAACGGAATGTACGATAATACTGGCAAACGGCATGTGCCCCCCAAACACCACATAGGTGGACGCTCTCAGGCTCGTTAGTTGCAAACTTTGTTCGAGCTTAAACTGCTTGACACGAAAGGGAAAACGATGCAGATGATGCTGATGTTGAAGATGAAGATGATGATGCTGATAATGATAATGATGATGATGATGATGATGATGATGATGATGATGATGATGATGATGATGATGATGATGATGATGATGATGATGATGATGATGATGATGATGATGATGATGGTAATGATGATGCTGATGCTGAAGATGATGGCGAGGAGGAGGAATACGAAAATCTATGCATGCGCGGCGGTGCATTTCTTTCAACTGTGGAAGTGTCCGGGCGGCTGGGCATTGCATGAGCAGCCGCGAGGACCACTGCAGGCTATGTTTTTTTGCGATACCTCAAGCTGAGGAGCGGTGGGGGAGCAGAAGAGCAGGGGGATAAGGGAGAAGGGACGGATGAGGGAAGACCAGGAGGGAGGAGCGGAGGAGCAGGACGGAACATAACGACGAAGGAGGGATGGGGAGGAGGAGCATGAGGCAGGTGGGGGAGGAGGAGCAGGAGGGGGGGGGGGGGGGGGACAGAAGGGAGGACTGCGGAGGACGGCCAAGACCAGCTGTTCGTCCTGAGCTGTTTTCTCACGGTCACGGGGCCCAGGAACTTGAGAAGGATCCGCAGGCGGAGACTAGCCGAGGGGGGGGGGCGACAACGATTTCGATTCAGAGATACATCGCCGATCGCTCAGCAATGGGCCCCCCTATGTCAAAACCGAGGAATGCTGAGCGCGGTAGGGGGTCCAGGCTGCGATAGGCGATGAGTGGGCGATGGGGGGTCGACGCTCCTCCCCCTGGTCCAGTCCCCCACCCCCGTCGGTGCGCCTTTCGTTGCCCCCTGCAGGCAGAACGCCTTGAGAGTACGCCCTCCCCAGGGCCCGCTCAATGAGCAAACCCTCAACTCGGGAGCCAAACATGCCATACATAAACTTGCGGAGGTCTGCGCTGATTTTTTGGATCAGCGCTGGACCCCCTTCCTGGCGCGCAGAGCGCGCTGAGGGCGGCGAAGGAGGCGCCGTCAAGGGTCTCCAACGCAGATCCGAAAAATTCCCTCGGACCCCGGGATTTCGATGTTTGTGTTGTTTGATCCTCGGGGCATCCTCCGTCCTGGAGGTCCTCTCTTGGCCGCCTCGTCGATGCCCTCCAGCTCGGGCTCGAAGTAGTCCCCCGACAAAGCCCAGCAGTCCGAGACGACGGTGTGGGAGGGTGGGATCCTGGCGCCGAAGCCGTAGGCAAGGATCTTGTCGTCTACATCGTAGCACGACATCACCTCGAGGATGAGGGTGATGAGGGCGATGGTGAAGAGATTTTGATGTGACTCGAGTGGGACTCGGGTAAGGAACGCGCCCCTATGCCAATCAGCGGATTGACCCCGAGCAACCTGGAAACGAGAGCACACGTCGAACACATGCATGGCTAACGCGCTGCGGGCATGGATAGTCGCACACGGAAACTGAGTTGTGCTACCTTCTACTTCTTTTCATGAACCCACCCGTCCCATCACCAACACAGACCCCATCTTGGATGCATGGGCCTAGCGCGCACGGCGGCCAGCTATCATAATGGACGTCGGCGTGTCGCGGTAGCAGGGGAAGATGAGAAGGAGGAGGAGGAGGAGGAGGAGGAGGAGGAGGAGGAGGAGGAGGAGGAGGGAGGAGGGATGTTGGAACGGAGGGGGAGGGAACAAAGGGGGGGAGGACAAGCTAGGTAGCTAGGTACGACCGCGCCACATCTGACACCCTACCCCTCCCGCCCATCCCTTCCCTCTGCGCTATTTGTTCCTCCATATCCAAGGACGCGTGTCATAGCGGACCTGGAACTCCCGAAAAGACCTCTCCGTGTTATGCGCAATCGGAACAAGGGGGAGTCGAGCAGGAGGAACAAAAAAGAATACGAGGAAGGAGAAGACCATGGGAAAAAAAACAGAAGAGGGAACGGGAGTGCAAGGAGCGGGAGGCCAGGAGAAGGCGGAGGAGGGGAAAGGAGGGGGGCGACAGGGCGGCAACGATGAGGAAGGAAATGATCCAGAAAAGTTGGGCGAGAGCGCCATTCCGAATGACGGGAGCAAAGCGCCGATCCGAAAATGAGGTGGTCGCAGATCACCACCGATACTTGGGCACAGACTCGTGCGCATCCAGACTTAATTAAACCCCCTCCTGCCTGCAGGCTGCAACCTCTGAGCCCCGGGCCCAACCGATAGGAAAACAAGCCTCTGGTGCCCGCACTGGACCGCCTTCACAGGCGGGCGCGTGCAAGGCTACGACACTGCAGCGCAAAGGAGGAGGAGGAGGAGGAGGAGGAGAAGGAGGACTGGTGCAAACCCAAGACGCATCAACGATGTTGCAATAATCCCTCCCGCTAAGCTCCCATACTCTCATTGCGGGAAGTGGCCCATTAGAAGACAACCGTCTGATAATCCTTCATCGCCGCAAGACAGCGTTACTTGGACGTCAACGCCGCGGATCAACATGAGTATTGCGTCTTGACAGTCCTAAATTTTTCCAGAATGCCAATCCTGGGACTTCAACACAGCGAATCAACGCGACCATTGCGTCCTGACCATCCTGCATCGTACCAGAACACCAATCCTGGGATTTCGACCATACGAATTCCTCGAACTGTTGCGCACTGTTGGCACCAATGTGAGTGGCGCTGAGGCGAGAGCCACATTTTGAGAACGACCCGCCCTCCATCCATGAAGCTGCTGCAAGCCTTTAGCACGAATGCGCACGGCGCTACGGCGAGAGCCAAATATCGAAAAGGAAACGCCCTCTATCCTGCGAGGTGTTGAAAACTTTATAGCGAATGTGTGCGACGCTGAGGCGAGAACCACATCTTGAAAACGACCGCCCCCCAGCTGTGAAGCTGCTGCAACTCTCAAGCTTCAGGATCATAGGTGGCGAGGGATTACCAGGCGAAGCGCCTGGCCCGCCCTACCAACCCGTCTGGGGGTGCGACAGGGAGGTGCTACTCATCAGGAGAAGGGGCGGAAGATGCAACAGGCATGGGAGGGGGAGGAGTCGCAACTGCGGCATCTGCTGTCCAGGCCGCGCGGTCGCTGCACGGGCGGCAAAACCCCGCAGTGGACTCGGGCCCGAGGGCAACGAGACGGGCGAGGAGGAGGAGGAGGAGGAGGAGGAGGAGGATGAGGAGGAGGAGGAGGACGGAGGAGGGAGGAGGGAGGCGGGCAACGGCATCGGCAATCGCGTAAGAGCAGCGGGCCCCTGCCTATTGCGGCGCGCCGCCGGGCTGCCGTGGTGACCTTGACGCGGACGCGGCCGCGCAACCCTCCCAGGAACTCGCAGCAAAAATGGTACCACTCCCAGCAAGAGTGGCAGCACTCCCAGGAACAAATGAGACTCACGCTGTAGCGGGATCACCATTTGGAGATTCAGACATCGGTCAACTTGCCAACAACTATGAGACAATTACCTTTGTCTAAATCTGTGTGTAAGGACCTATGCACGGAGAGGGCGGAACATCTTCCAGACAGAGCCAGGACAGAGAGGAAAATAGTATTCATAAAGTGTAACTGTGAAGGAGGAGGATGCGAAGTAGGAGGAGGGGACGAGGAGGCGGAGGAGGAAGAACGTTAGGAGAAGGAAGAAGTCAAGGAGGAGAGGGAGGAGAGAGGACAAGGGGGGCAGGGTTAGGTCGGGCATGTCCCCCTACAGGCGGATTTTGGAATCATATTTCAAACTTACGCTACCGAGGAACCCCACATACTTATTTGATGTCACGTGTGTTCACAAACCATGTCACATCCCACTTCGCCATCCTCGATGCTGGAAGCCGATCCTGGTGAGGAATGTGCCAGCCACTAGTTGTCGCACGTGGCCCCCCCAGGATCGATTCACCTGCCTTATCTTCCTCCTCTTCCTCCTCTTCCTCCTCCTCCTCCTCCTCTTCCTTCTCCTCCTCCTACTACTACTACTACTACTACGACTACTACAATTACTACTTCTACTGGTAGTAGTACTACCAGTAGAAGTAGTAGTTGTAGTAGTCGTGCAGCTCTCAAGGCTCTCAGGTTTCATGGTGAGGCGCCCCCACCCCCAGCGCACCCCTTGTGGTGTCGAGGAAGTGCCACGCATGCCACGCTTTGCGAGCCCGCAACGGATAGGGAGACCACCCCCAGCGCACCCCCTGTGGTGTCGAGGAACTGCCACGCCTGCCACGCTTTGCGAGCCCGCAACAGATGGGGAGACCACCCCCAGCGCACCCCCTGTGGTTTCGAGGAAGTGCCACGCCTGCCACGCTTTGCGAGGCCGCAGCGGATAGGGAGACCACCCCCAACGCACCCCCTGTGGTGTCGAGGAAGTGCCACGCCTGCCACGCTTTGCGAGCCCCACCCCCAGCGCACTCCCTGTGGTGTCGAGGAATGCCACGCCTGCGCGCTGTGGTGTCGAGGAAGTGCACGCCTGCCAGGCCGCAACGGATAGGGAGACCACCCCAGCGCACCCGTCGAGGAAGTGCCACGCCTGCCACGCTTTGCGAGCCCGCAACGGATAGGGAGACCACCCCCAGCGCACCCCCTGTGGTGTCGAGGAAGTGCCACGCCTGCCACGCTTTGCGAGCCCGCAACGGATAGGGAGACCACCCCCAGCGCACCCCCTGTGGTGTCGAGGAAGTGCCACGCCTGCCACGCTTTGCGAGCCCGCAACGGATAGGGAGACCACCCCACCCCCTGTGGTGTCGCACCTGCCCCTGTGCGTGGATAGGAGACCACCCCCAGCGCACCCCCTGTGGTGTCGAGGAAGTGCCACGCCTGCGCTGCGAGCCGCCACCCCCAGCGCACCCCTTGTGGTGTCGAGGAAGTGCCACGCCTGCCACGCTTTGCGAGCCCGCAACGGATAGGGAGACCACCCCCAGCGCACCCCCTGTGGTGTCGAGGAAGTGCTACGCCTGCCACGCATTGCGAGGCCACAGCGGGCAGGGAGACCACCCCCAGCGCACCCGTCGAGGAAGTGCCACGCCTGCCACGCTGTGCGAGCCCGCAACGGATAGGGAGACCACCCCCAGCGCACCCCCTGTGGTATCGAGGAAGTGCCACGCCTGCCACGCTTTGCGAGCCCGCAGCGGATATGGAGACCACCCCCAGCGCACCCCCGGTGGTGTCGAGGAAGTGCCACGCCTGCCACGCTGTGCGAGCCCGTAACGGATAGGGAGACCACCCCCAACGCACCCCCTGTGGTGTCGAGGAAGTGCCACGCCTGCCACGCTGTGCGAGGCCACAACGGATAGGGAGACCACCCCCAGCGCACCCCCTATGGTGTCGATGAAATCCCACGCCTGCCACGCCCTGCGAGCCTGCAACGCATAGCGCCCGAACCCCCAGCGCACCCCTATGGTGTCCAGAAAGTGCCACGCCTGCTAGGCTTTGCGACAGTGTCGTGGGTAGCGGCCGCACTGAGAGACCACCTCCTTCGCACCCCCTATGGTGTCCAGAAAGTGCCACGCCTGGTATGTCTGGACGACTGGGGCGTGCTGTGCTGTGCTGGCCTTTGCTGCGGTCTGCTGTGCTGTGCTGTGCTGTGATGTGCTGTGCTGTGCTGTGCTGTGCTGTGCTGTGCTATGCTGTGTGTGCGGTGTGCTGTGTGTGCTTGTGTGTTTGTGTGTATGTGTGTATGTGTATGTGTGCTTTACTGTGCTGTGCTGTGCTGTATGCTGTGTGTGTGCTTGTGTGTTTGTCTGTATGTGTGTATGTGTGTATGTGTGTGTTTTGATGTGCTGTGCTGTGCTGTGCTGTGGGTGAGGGAGGAAGGAAGAGGAGGGGGAGGAGGAGGAGGAGATGTGAGTCGCAGGCGCGGCGCGGGCGCGGCGCGGCAGAGAAGAAAGCCATAACCCCACCAAGCATGTGGGGAGTAATCACAAGCGTGCAACTCTAGCCAAAAACTAATCGAAGAATGTTCCCTGGAGTATTTCTTTACTATTTTCTAATACTCCTCTTATGGAGGCACATGCCAGACGTAATGGTAGGGAGGGGGGAAGGGATGAGAAGGAGGAGGAGAGAGAAGGGAGGGCGGAGGAGGGAGAGAGGAGCGAGGGAGGGGAGCAGGGAGCGAGGAGGTAGGGGAGGAGGATGGCAGACAAAGTGGAAGGAGGAGCAGGAGCAGGAGCAGGAGGAAGTGCCACCTTGCCCACTGCCCGCATGGCCGTGGCGTACGGGCTCGTGCCAGGCGTCCCGCCGAAGCCGTGGCAGTGTGGCTCGCGCTTCGCGTTGGAGCGGGTGAAGTCGATCGCCACCGCCAGCCGGATTTGCAAGCCGCTCCGGACGTAGTCCAGGAAAGTGAAGCGGCGCAGGCTGCCGACATTGTTGAGGGTCAGCCAGCCCACCGCCTTCTCCCTCCTTCCTCCTCCGCCTCCCCCTCCTTCCCCACAGGTCTCGGGGGCTCGCGGGGCCCCTGGAGGCCCAAGCAGAACTCAAGACTTCCAACATACCTCGATCCTCGTCCTCGGCCCTCCTCCTCCCCAAGCTTACGACGTCTTGATCTTTTCCAATGCTGGGTATCTGGAAGTCCCGACCCTTTCCATCCCGAGTTGTTCTTGACGGTGCCGGAATCCGAAACCGGCCGCTCAGTACAAAACACCTGTTTTGTTTTGACAAGAGATTGGATGAATGGGTCCCCCTCCCTACCCATCCCGCCTTCTCCTTCTCCTTCCCATCCTTGCTGGAACTGCCGCTGGATCTCGACTCGGATCTGGTGCTCAGCTTCGACTTCTTGCTCTTACCGTCGGAGTCCTTGCTCTTCTCGCTCCTCTGACTGTGGGCGCTCCTGTGAAACAGGGGTAGAGGACATCGACACGACCACCACCACCACCACCACCACCACCACCACCACCACCACCACCACCACCACCACCATCATCGCAAGGAGCCAGGCAGGGTTCTCCTGATGTAGTTCCCCTTCTTTCGGCGGCCAGCCCGAGGGGGAAGTGAGAGGGGGCGGGCCTTCTCAGAAGGCTCGGAAGTCCCCCAGCCTTCTGAGAAGTTTTCTACGCACTCCCCGAAGACACAGGCGACCTCTTAGAAGACGCGAGGGCTTCTGAGAAGTCACGCCACCTTCTGAGAGAAGGAATTCTCCTTCTCACTTCCTCCCCTCGCTCGCCGCCGATGATTCGCGGCGTCCCGATCGACGCGCCTCAAATCAACGCGCGCGGAAAACACCGTGGACCTCCTCGCTGGCTCGGAATACCTGCGAACCTCCGGCCCTGTCGGGCATACCAGGGCGCCGCGGCCGTGGTCCGGCACGGCTCTCTGGGATGTTTCTATTCGTCCTGGGCCCGCCTGATCCTGCGAGGAGGGGGAGTACGCCGAGGAGGAGGAGGAGGAGGAGGAGGAGGAGGAGGAGAAGGAGGAGAAGGAGGAGGAGGAGGGGGAGGAGGAAGAGGGGAGGAGGAGGAGAGAGAGGAGGAGGAGGAGGAGGAGGAGGAGGAGGAGGAGAAGGAGGAGAAGGAGGAGGAGGAGGAGGGGGAGGAGGAAGAGGGGGAGGAGGAGGAGGAGGAGGAGGAGGAGGAGGACCAGGAGGAGGAGGAGGAGGAGGAGAAGGAGGAGAAGGAGGATGAGGAGGAAGCGACTGAGGGCAAACGGACATGATTGCCACGAGGGAAAAAAAGGGGTCTTAGGGAAGAGGGTCCTAGACTCTGGACTCTGGGCCTTCCCCAGGACCGACGGTTCATGCTGGCCAGAGACCCCTCGGCGGCGCGAGTGCACTGTGCTTCCCCCCGCGCAGCATAGAGGAGGCGGTCGCGATGCGGCTCGCAGTCTCCGCTGCGAGTGCGAATGACCATGCGGGTGGCGGCAATTGTAGCAATGACTTGAGTAGAGCGAAGGACATTTGGCGGTCTCACCCGGGCATCGCGATGAGGTCGCCCTTGTGGAACGAGGTAGGGGGCATGCTGAGAATTTTGGTGAAAGACGTAGTGCTCGCGCATCGCAGCCCGCTGAACCAGGGGAACGAACTGAGAAACATAAATGAGTGTAGTAAGTGCTGAAGCAATATCAAGGCGAACTGTAGCAGCGCTGCCGCTCCGTAGCCACCGTTTTGCCCTGGTGCGAACTATTGGGAGTCCAAAGAGGCTGACGGACCCGGGGAGGCACCGAGGTATCCGGGCCACCTCGCCGCCGAAAAAACCGCGCCAAGCAAGGCCAAGCTCGGCTCGGAAGGCTTGGGCTTGGGCAGTGGTGGACGGATTGGCTGCGGCCCGAAGTGAGAATGCGACGCAGCTGCGAGGCGTAAGTGAAAGCGGAGCATGGGGCTCAGCCGCCCGAAAGGGCTCAGGGATCTTGCGCGACATGTGGAAGTCATAAGTCAGGAGGTGGCGCAACCACCCTCGTGGCCGTTGTTCTGGTCGCACGCGCAGTCGGGGTGCCCGAAGAGGAAAGCAATGCGGCGAATCAGCGGGTGCATTGCGATGGCCCATGGCGGGGCATCCTTGGACGACGCCTGATTCGACCGCAAACATGTGATGGCGGACACCGTCGCTCATGATGAAGCTGTTCGGTGCGTAGAAGGGGGCGTCGAAGAAGAGATTGCCGCAGCCCGCGGGGGGGGGCCGAAGCGCTCGAGGGCGCGGAAAATCCAGGCCCGCCCCAGCGTAGGGAAAGCTGCCGCGAAGTCGAAGCTGTTGAATATGGGGGAGGCGGCCATGAGCGAGCGGGGCTGCTCCTGCTCGGCGCATCTCGGTACCGAGTCGGACGGCGCGCGAGGCGGAGTTGCGGCCCGCGACGAAGCCCTGTTGAGCATGGCGGGTGCGCTGATTGATTGCGTCCTTGAGCTGGAAACCACGGCTGCGCGGCCGCCCGTGTCCAGAGCTGCTCTTCGGAGCCGTGGGTTTCCTGCGGTAGAATGACGCAATGTCGCTTCATGTTGTAAGTCCCGGGGGGGTCTGCATCTTTCCCGCGAACAAGGGGGCCCTGCTGTCTGCGCGAGGCAGTCCGAGGGCAGATTTTGTATGAAATTGCGCAGAGCGCTTGTCTCGGTAAGCAACTTGCCGCGACGCCAGGAGCTGCTCTGACGGCACTTCCCGCGTGATACTAGCGGCGTGATACTAGCGGCGGGGGTGGCGTGATACTAGCGGCGGCGTCACCTGCTGTGGCACGCGAGGGCCCTGGAGCCCCGCGAGATGCAGGCGGCGGTCCGGTGGGCTTCTGGCGCGAGCCAGGGCGCCCGCAGGTGGTTGGGGGCGCCACTCCTCCGCCTCCGCGCCCCCGAAGAGCGCCTGGAACTCGGCGAGGAGGGCGGCTCTGTCGAGGCGCTGGGACTGGGGCGGCCCGAACGCCTGGAGGTTCCACTCGAGGGCGGTCGGGTGGCTCCGGCCTCGGGTCTCTCCCTTGGCGCGGGGGGCGCGCCACTGGTAGCCTCGGTGACGCTCTTGGAGTAGCTGGTGAAGTTTCTTGGTCTGGATCTCGGTGCGGATCTTCGTGGCGGGCTTGTCAGGTTCCATGAAGATCGGGGCGCGCTGGCCTGTGGTGCCCGCGGGCTCGAAGCGCCCCCTCTTGCCGGCAACGTCAAGGAGGGCTCGCGAGAGGGCAGGGGCGCGTGGAACGGCGATGTCCCTGCCGCCCGAGATCTGTAGGATACAGCGCCTGGCGGGAGCGCGTTTCATCTCTGAGGTAGGTGGCCGCGATCCACTCCTGGAGGTCGTTGATGACGCAGCTCGGCGCGATGGGTCGCTGTGGACCAATGGCGAAGAGCGTCGGGTCAGGGACGCGACTCCACTCTGCGAGTCGCGGGGAGGTCGGCGATGGAGGTCGGCGATGGGCATCTGGGTTGCGGCGGGCGCGAGGGTCTCGCGCATCTGATCACTGTGGGACCACATTCGGCGCCGCTGCTCATCAACTCGTCGGTCTTGTTCACGTCGTGTACGAGCAACTGAGTCACGAAAGGGCGCCCACTCGGTGTTCTGTTTGCACAACTTGCTGTTGTAGTAATCGGCTGAAGTCGTTCCTGAAGTCTCGAGGAGGTCGTTGGCTAGGTTCTGAAATCTGGCTGTGGCCAAACTGGCTTGTTCTTGCATGAAGCGATGAAGTGGGGCTTCGAGGCCGGCGGATATTCCATGTATGTGTCGCTGGCCAACTTCGGCACCTTGGGAAATGGGGCAGTCCTCGCCCGGGTCGATCGCCTTCTCGATGAGCTGGTCCCCACGGGCCAAACACTCCTGCGAGTGGGTCAGGTGCCGCTTGGCGAGCAGGCGGCTGAACTGCAGCAGCTGGGGCGGTAAGTTCTTGCGTCGGTAGTGCGGACGGCTCTTTCCACAGCCCCTCCTCCCTCTGCTCGGGGGACGGGTGTACCCCTCCCCCATACCCCTCTCCTCTGGGCCTGGGAGGGTGGGCGGCGCGAGGTATCAGAGTGCCCAGGATGGCCAAAAATGGCTCCAAGAGGGCCTCAGAGAGCCCAAGATGGCCTCCAAGAGTGCTCAAGAGAGCTGAAGATGGCTCAATATAGCCTCCCACATACATCGAAGACGGCCCAGGATGGCGAAGCCTTTGGGATACAGCATTGTGTAGACATGTTGGTGTAGAGTACGAGGCCGTTCGACTGCGCGCCACTGGTGGGCAGCACAGCTGAAACAAACGTGCTGCTTGAGGATATGGAGGCGCCTGAAGTAGAAGCCTGTCAGGGCGTAGAAAATGGATGCTCGGAACGCGGCTTGACTGGCGTGGCATACGGATGCTCGGAACGCGGCTCGACGAGGCTGAACGGATATGAACGGCCGCCTGCATGGCCAGTGTGGAAGGGAGGAACAGCGGAAGGAACGATAGGCTGGCGCGGACCCCCTGGCTGTGGCAGAAAAACTTTTGGATATGTCCTCGGCTCCAGGGTCCACATGAAGCCGCACGGCAACATGGTGACTTGAGCCAACATGGCTACGGAATACTGGACGAGGAGGAGGAGGAGGAACATTCGAAGGAAGATGTTCAGGAGGAGGACGATCATGAGGAGGACGTGGTGAAGGTGAGGGAGAAGGTGTGTGGGAACACGACTTTTGTACACCACCCCCACAAACAAGCTGGTCCGGCAGAAGACCATGGAGAGGAGGTTGTGTACGAAAATGGCATCCCCCTGGGACACGAGATTTGTACACCGCCCCGACGAACAAACTCGTTCGGCATAAGGTTCGCGCGCGGGGGCGGTGACCATAAATCGCCCCCCGAATGTGGATGGGGGTGAGGGCGGACGGGGTGGCGGCCCCGTCGTCCTGACGGACAGCTTTGAGGAGCTAGAAAGCTTGGAGCCGCCCGACAGCTTGGAGGCCTTGCCCGCGCCCGGAACAGCCAGGGTGTTGCCCGCAAGGCGGCGCGTGGTGGCATCCTTGCTGCCCGCCGCCTGCAGGAGACGGCAAAAAACAAAATTTTGCATACATAGAGGTAAGCTTTCGGAGATCCGCGCGGATTCTATGGATCGGCGCCTAACCCCCCTCACTGGGGCGCGCAGCGTGCCAGGGGCGGCGCCGGAAGCGCCGCCATGGCGGGTCAGCGCCGATCCAATACATCCCGCGCGGGGTTTCGGAAGTCTTTGCTCAATCAATTTTGACTTCTTCGGGTGAAGGGTACGAAACGGAGGGAGGAGAACGGGAGGAGGAGGAAGGAGGGACGAAATGAGGAGGAGGAGGAGGAGCAGGAGGAGGATGAGGACGAGGAGGATGAGGACGAGGAGGAGGAGGAGGAGGAGGAGGAGGAGGAGGAGGAGGAGGAGGAGGAGGAGGAGGAGGAGGAGGAGGAGGAGGAGGAGGTGTCCAACGCCGATTCAATAAATCCGCGCGGACCTCCGGAAGTTTATGTCAGACCAAATAATCCTTCTCCTAGGGATGATGATGATGGATGATGATGATGATGAGGAGGAGGAGGAGGAGGAGGAGGAGGAGGAGGAGGAGGAGGAAGAGGAGGAGGAGGAGGAGGAGGAGGAGGAGGAGGAGGAAGGGAGGAGGAGGAGGAGGAGGAGGAGGAGGAGGAGGAGGAGGAGGAGGAGGAGGAGGAGGAGGAGGAGGAGGAGGAGGAGGGTGGAAGAGGGAGGAGGAGGAGGAGGAGGAGGAAAACGAGGAGGAGGAGAAAGAGGAGGTGGATGAGGAGGAATAAGAAGATCACGGGAGGGGACGCCGCGGGTGTGCTCGCCTCAAGGCCTGGGGTGGGGAGGAGGACGAGGAGGAGGAGGAGGAGGAGGAGGAGGAGGAGGAAAACAGACATTTAGCGGAGACGCTTTCGCCCCAAAGTCCCCAAGACATCGGTGTACGACCCACATTATGAAAAGCAATCGATCCTGCAGCGGACTCGCAGCAACGGAGGCGACTGCGCTGGACAGCTGCCCGAGCGCCGCCGCACAGATCCACGCCCACCCAAACGCGGGGACGAAGAGAAGGGAGGGAGGGCGGCTGCGCTGCAGCAGCCGTGGCAATGGCCATACGACCATATTCGCTACACACCCGCACAACAACACACAAACCCACCCGCAGAGTTCGCCCACGGCCAACTCTTTGAGACCCCGCTACCCAATTTCGATGCAAGACGAAACACATCCTCCGTTTGCAGATCCACTCAAAGATGAAAGCAGCAACGGCCGCACATATTGCATAATGTGGCAGCGAGGGCATTTTAGTGTTTGCCATCCGGCGCCTCCCAACTCACGGATCTGTTGGGTTTGCTCGTCTTACTACTATTAGCCAGCGTGGGCCCCAAACAGTGTATGACTACTCGTTCACGTTGTGGGACATACGCGGAGCAACCTACGTGGCGCAATTAATTGTTATTCGCTGTGAATTGTCAACCCCACTGCGCGCGCAATCATCCCACCCGTCCACCCACAATTGGGTTTGCAAACCCCATGCGGCGGCGATTGCGATGACTGTTCGGCGCTGGCTGGCGCATCGCTGCGGCCGCGCTAGCACGCGCAGGCTCGCGCGCAGAGCGGCCAACCAGTCTGGCGCGACCGACGATGCCACGGTGGCGATGACCGCTGGGGGCCTCCCAACGCGTCTCGCAGGCCGCGCTGACGCGCGGGCACTTCAGCACGAATCGGTGACTCGGGCGGGCGCGGTATCATTGCGATGTCGACAACGGCAGTCATGATGATGATAGCAGCGAAGCTAATGACGACAATGTCATTGTTGCAAGCAAAGCCAATGACGGTGCCAGTGCTGATCGCACCGATGACGATGATGGTGTCCACGAGTCGGTAACGAAAATGGTGGAAGGATTTCGACATGCGCGCGGCCAACGAGCGCGAGTGGCCTGCGTGGTATTACTTGACAAGAATCGCGCGCCCCCAGCGAGCGTGCAAGGGCGTTCGCATGGTTTCGACACGCGCGCGCGAGAGGCCCGTTTGGTCGCAACGGATGGAGCTGTTGACGCACACACACATGGTTTTCTTAAGAATTCGCGGGGAGGCGCGTAAATTTTTGTTTGACAGACCGGATTGCAATACCATGTGTTCTCATATGTTTTCTGGCTACTCGATGCTGGCATCCTTACGAAACCAGAAGTTGTGTGGATGACTTCAGAATGCGCGCAGCGCGACAACGCGCGCGCGTGCACTTCGTCCATTTCTGTTGTAAGGGGCTCGTTTAACGTTGACAAATTGTGATAAACGAGTATGCGCGCATAGCGTTCTTTGCAGAAGACTGTGGGGGTGCGGGTCGATACCGGCTTGGCTGGGATGATACGAGTTCATACTTAGGTAGAACGAACGATGAGGCAGGACCGCATGTAAACTGCACGTCCCCGTGGTGGGCTGATAATCACGCCCTCGGGGGGGATAGACCGTGATCTTTTACGTGGTGTAGTCTGCGTTGCGCCATCTATGTGTGGCGCAACCGATGCGGTGCAAGATTGGTGGAGCAATCGATGTGGTGCAATATACATGGTGCAATCTACGCGGGGCGCAATCTATGTGGCGCGAACAATTGCTGGAGCAACCGTCTCACCCGCCAGCCCGCAACTTGGTCTGCAAACCCCATTCGGCGGCAATTGGGGCGCCTGCCCGTCGTTGGCTGGCGCATCCCTGCGGCCGCGCTAGCGCGCGCGGGCTCACGCGCAGAGCGGCCAGCTAGTCTGGCGCGGCCGACGCGGCCGCGGTGGCGATGACCGCCGGGCACTGCCCAGCTCGTCTCGCAGGCCGCGCTGACGCGCGGGCACTTCAGCGCGAGTCGGTGACTCGGGCGGGCGCGGTCTCATGGCGACGTCGACAACGACAGACGCGATGATGGTAGTAGCGATGCTGGCGGCGACGATGACAATGACGACGGCAAGACCACTGGCGGCGCCGATGCTGATCACGCCGACGACTATGATGGTGTCCACGCGTCGGTGATGAAAGTGTTGGAACGATTTCGACATGCGAGCGCGGCTGACGGGCGCGAGTGGACCGCGTGGTATCATTTGACAAGGATCCTGTCCCCTAGCTCGCGCGCGAAGGCGTTCGAATGATTTCCCTATGCGCGCGCGAGAAGCCCTTTTGGTCGCATGTGATGATCATGCTCTAAAACTGAAGCTCTCTGTTCACCCTGGTGGCCCGTTTTGTTTAATTCCATTTGTCAATTCTTCCCTTGTCCTGTCAGCTTTCAGGGGGACGGTGTCGAAATGTGCTGGTGGGGATACTCTTTCTGTCGCAACCGCAAGCGGACAGCCGCGCGGCGTCGTGGAGTCGCACGAAGACCAGGCCTACAGCGAGCAGGACAGAGGCCCACACTACAGCAGGCGAGCGGCTGGTGGGGATATTTTTTTTGATCTGCGGCTCTAAGGACAATTCCAGAGAGCGGGTCAAACTCGACAGGGGCGCAACGCGAGACGATTGGCAACGAAGGCACATAGGCCAACGCCGCAATGACTGGTGGGGATACGCGAAGCGTGGAAATTCGCAAGAATGCGCGCGCAGACTTTTTTGTTTGAAGACTCATGTTGGTAAGCAATTGTGTTTTGATATGGTTTCGGGACACTCGAGCTTTGATATGGTTCAGGGGCATTCGATTTTGAGATCTTTACGCAACCTACGGTGTTTGGAAGATTCGAGCATGCGCGCACAACGACGCGCACGTGCACGTCGTCCCGTCTGTTGCATGGAATCACGGCAGATGGATGATATTTGATAAACGAATGTGTGCGCATGGCATGAACCGCTAAAGGTCTGTAGTTTGGGTGCCCCCCCTTGTCTCTCGGCGGTGAACAGGACTGGTCCTAAAACCACCTCATCCTCCTCCTCTTCCTGTTCCTCATTCCTGTCGTAGCTTTCGTCGTCGTTGGTGGGCGGCGGGTGCCGCGGAAAAGAAAAGTTAGTTACCCTCTGTTGGTGTGACCCCAGTCCTTCAATAAGGCCACCGAGAAAATAACATGTTACCCCCTAATGGGGTCTACAAGCCTTGTCAAGGTTATTTGACAGGGATGGGGGGGTCGATACTGGCCTGGCTGGGGTGGTATGAGCCCATACTTCACATGAGCGATGGGGCAGAATCATATGTAGACTGCGCATCGCGAGGCTGGACTGACAGCCCCGGGCGAGGTGGGGTGGTAGACCCTAAATTTCTAACCAATAGAAGATCTGTGCGAGGCGGCGACGGCGGCGCCGGGGCGGCGACGGTGAGCACGGAGCCGCCAGACCAGCAGCCACGCCCACACGAGGGGAAGCGACGAAGCGGTGACAGGGCGGCGACGGCGAGCACGGAGCCGCCAGACTGGCAGCCAGGCCCAGACGACGGGCGGCGACGAGGCGGTGACAGGGCGACGGAGCCGCACGGAGCCGCCAGACCAGCAGCCAACCCCAGCTCCTTAGAACACAATCAAGAACCCCTAGATGCAAGCATTGCTTGGGGATTCCGGAAAGACGTGACATGGGCGCATATACTTTTGCGAGCGGCATTCGTGAGGCTCGCAGCCCCCCAAGGATTGCGAGGTCCCGCTCAGATCTGCGTGGTGCCTCACTCCGCTGGACCAGCCACCAGCCTTCGAAAGTAGCGACGGTTTCGCAGGTCGCAGCCCCTCCAAGGACGGCGAAGTCCCGCTCAGATCTGCGCGGTGCCTCATTCCGCTGGACCCGCCAGCAGCCCTTAAAAGTAGCGATGGTTTCGCAGGTCGCAGCCCCCCAGGGACGGCGAGCTCTCGCTCAGATCTGCGCGGTGCCTCACTCTGCTGGAACCCACCAGCAGCCCTCGAAAGTGAAGACAGTTTCGCAGATCGTTATGCTGGCCCCCCAGGCAGCCCTCGAAAGTGGCGACAATTTCAGAGATCGCAGCCCCACAGGGATGACGAGGTCGAATTAGGATCTGCGGCGGCTAAACACTGTAGCTGCCCCCCCCACGGAGCCCTCGAACGTGGCGACAGTTTCGCATATCGCAGCCCCCC